GCCTGGCACCCCGACTGGGTACCTCCGTTGAAGGATGCTCCTAGCGCTTCCTGAGGACTCCAAGCACTCTGGCAGACACCACAATCACCGAACTGGGGAAACAAATAAATTCTCCCAAGCATATGAATGCTGTAGACAGTTGAATAGGAACCATACAAATAGGTTTACTCTCCTAGCAGTCAAACTGGAACAGCATACAATAAATCCTTCCCCCAATAATGAGACGACACTTCACTTTGAGGGTTAAAACAGGAACTCCCTGTACTGTCACATACAGTCTCTTTTATTCCCAATCCACAAACATAGTACAGCCCACAGGGCGTTACAAAACAACCAATCAATCCGTACAATACACCCAGACACTCCCACACAAAATCCTCCCCTCTGCATGTGATATGATTACTGAACACAATGGGTAATCTCATTATCACCGGCAGAGGAATACAGTTTTTACACAATATTTATAACTTCTAAAATATACATGTCACAAACATAAAACATACATTTTCATAATCAATCCATTCAGGGGAACAACATATTAAAAAATGGCACGAATCAGACCAGGGGTTCAAAAGTTAAGGGAAAGTCCTTTGTGACTAAATGAAGCATGGCTTTCAGGCCCAAACCAGTTTCAGAGTCTTCTATCCTGGAGATTGAATTGAGAAGTAATTCAATTATCTCCCAGGACAGACACAAGACTCCATTATGCACATGGTGAGCACAAAGCATTAAAATATTATAAAATACACAAAGTCACATTTTATACATAAAACGCAGACATGTCACATATCCCCAGATAGCTGGGATCTGAGCGCACAAAACTACCGAAAAGCGCTCAGATCCTATTCACAGAGTTCAATTGCCATGGAGCCGAAGTCTTTAACTACACGAATGGGCTCCATGGCATAGCTATCTGGGTTAACACATTCACATAAAGTCTGGTCCATAGTCCAAAGTGTTACAATCTCCATGTTACAATCTCCGCGTTACAATCTCTGTGTTACAATCTCTGTGTTAAAATCTCTGTTACAATCTATGTGTTACAATCTTTGTTACAATCTCCCAGCTCCGTGTTACAATCTCCCAGCTCCATGTTATAATCTCCATGTTACAACCTCCCAGTTCCGTGTTACAATCTCCCTGCTCATTGTTACAATCTATGTGTTATAATCTCCATGTTACAATCTCCCAGCTCCATGTTACAATCTAAATTTTACAACCTCCCAGCTCCGTGTTACAATCTCTGTGTTACAATCTCCGTGTTACAATCTCCTAGCTCTGTGTTACAATCTCTTTGTTTCAGTCTCCGTGTTACAATCTCCTAGCTCCATGTTACAATCCTCGTGTTACAATCTCCCAGTTCCGTGTTACAATCTTCGTGTTACAATCTCCTAGCTCTATGTTACAATCTCCATGTTACAATCTTCCAGCTCCGTGTTACAATCTCCTAGCTCTATGTTACAATCTCCCTGTTACAATCTCCCAACTCTGTGTTACAATCTCCATGTTACAATTTCCCAGCTCCATGTTACAATCTTCCAGCTCCAAGTTACAATCTCCCAGCTCCATGTTACAATCTCCCAGCTCCGTATTACAATCTCTATGTTACAATCTCTGTGTTACAATCTCCATGTCACATTCTCCCAGCTCCATGTTACAACCTCCCAGCATCATGTAACAATCTCGCAGCTTTATTTTACAATCTCTGTGTTACAATCTCCCAGCTCTGTGCTACAATCTCCCAGCTCTGTAAGACAACCTCCAAGTTACAACCTCCCAACTCCGTGTTACAATATCCCAGCTCCGTGTTACAATCTCCCAGCTCTATAAAACAACCTCCGAGTTACAACCTCCCAACTCCGTGTTACAATCTCCCAGCTCTGTGTAACAACTTCCGTGTTACAATCTCCCAGCTCTATATTACAATCTCCATGTTACAACCTCCCAGCTCTGTGTTACAATCTCTATTTTACAATCTCCTTGTGACAACCTCCCAGCTCCGTGTTACAATTCACAGATTTTACTATTAACATGACGTAAAGTCATGATTTTATTAATGACACGGAGGCGAGTATTATGCTATCTCTTTCTTACTTTATTCCTCAGCAGCAAAGAGAAATATAAAACTGAAAGAGAAAAAATGTAGATATGCAATAAAATAATAACAGGTACAACCATATCTGCCTAGTAACAGGGCAGCCAATCAGTCTCTAGGAACAGTCCATAAATCTCTATCCTTGTACTTCCACTTCCTCTTCTTTGCCTTCCGAACCGAAGACCCAAAGCAAAATATCCAAGCAGTAACTAATAAACGTCAAACCGGTAGACATCAACAGACCGGAATCAAGCTGTAAAACAAAGAAACAGGTGGTAAACTCCAAACTTAGGAACTGAGTGCAACATATCGAATATACGTGACCTGCAGATAAAGAGCATCATACTCAAAATACCATGTACATATGTCACACTCTACAACACCATATGTTCAATACGAGTAACTCATGTGTACTTACCGTGAGATAAGACGAACCCCCCGATTGAACCCTAAGCGAAAACCAGACCCAGACCCACGGGAGGGTGGGTGGGAATAATACTCGCCTCCGTGTCATTAATAAAATCATGACTTTACGTCATGTTAATAGTAAAATCTGGGAATTTTATTAATGACACGGAGGCTCCTATTATGCTAGTTTAAAAGCTGAGCCACAACCAATGAAGAAACATGTTCAATCGGGCGGAAGTAAAAATCACGGAACGTAGATTCCTTAGACCAATCTGCCGCTTTCAAGATATCGTCTAGGCGACATCCTATCGTAGAAGCCTTTGATGCCATGGCACCCCTAACTGAATGAGCCGAAAAAACCGAAGTATCGATACCCGCAGCAGAAAGGAGATCTTTAACCCAGCGGGCAAGCGTCGGAGACGAGACCGGTAGAAACGGTGCTTTCAAGGAAATAAAGAGTGGAGGCAAGTCAGTTGACCTCAGCAGCCGGGTACGATCCAAAAAAACCTGGAGACAAGCCACAGGACACAAAGCAGGTCTGATGGAGCATCTAGGGTAGTCCACCGACTTGGAAGCCGACTTAGTCCTCCTCGAGATATTAAATGACACACCTCCGGGGGTGAACGAGACCGCGTTCCAGTCCAGAGCCCTGACGTCCGACACCCTCTTACACGAAAGTAGACACAGGAGCATGACCAGTTTCCATGATAACTGCTTGAGTGTCAAGTCCTCATTACAGGGCCAGGAGTCCAAGAATCCAAGGACGACGTTAACGTCCCAAAACGATGAGTATCTAGATCTTGGCGGTCTAGCAAAACGGATACCTTTCAACAAGCGGCACACAATAGGATGTTGTCCAATCGGAGATCCGTCGATCCCTTGATGTCCGGCCGAAATGGCTGATCTATAAACATTAAGGGTACGATAAGCCAAACCAGAATCGAAACGTTCCGTCAGGAAACCAAGCAGCGCATTTAGAGGGGCAGAAAGTGGATCCAGCAATCTTCCCAAGCACCAGCCAGACCACACGCGCCATGCGGTCTTGTAAGCCGCTCTGGTACCTGGTGCCCAGGCATTCTCCAATAGTCGAGCAGTTGTCTGCGAAACGTCCGGGACACACCAGGGTCTCCCGAGATTAACCAAGCCGTGAGTTGGAGTAAGTTCTGATCCACCAATTCGTGCAATTTGCCATCCGGATCCAGAAGCACATCCGGCCTCATTTCGATTATCCGTGGGAAATCTATGGCCATCTCCAGAAGGCGGGGAAACCACGGTTGAGAGTGCCAGAGCGGAGCTACCATTACTATCGTGCAATTCTGCCTGGCCGAGTATGCCAGTGTCCGGGATATCAGGTTGAACGGTGGGAACGCATAATGGTGTCCCAGCGGCCACGTCTGCAAGAACGCGTCCACCGCCGTGGCCGCTGGGTCCGGTCTCCAACTGAAGTAGTGGGGTAGTTGGGTGTTCAATCTGGACGCGAACAAATCCAGGTGAAGTGGACCCCACAACCGTTCTATCCTTTGAAATGTCGAGGACAGCAAGTGCCAGTCTCCTGAATCCTTCAGGTAGCGCGAGTTCCAATCCGCCCACTCGTTGTCCAGACCCGGAATGTGCTCGGCCGTAACCGATACGGCATTGTGTAGGCAATACTGCCAGAAATCCTTTGCCAAGTTCGCCAACTGCTTCGATTTTGTCCCCCCGAGGTGGTTTATGTACCTGACTGCGGACACATTGTCCATACGTAGGAGGACGCAGCAATTTCCCTGCGTCGGAGATAGACTCCGAATGGCAAACGAACCCGCCAGAAGTTCCAGGCAGTTTATGTGCAGAGCCGATTCGATCTCTGACCATCTTCCACCGGTGGAGACACCGCCACAGCGAGCGCCCCAGCCATGCAGGCTTGCATCCGACTCTATGATCACATCCGGCGCGGAGCCGTAGATCGCCAGGCCGTTCCAGGCCTCCATGTGGTCCAACCACCACCTTAGTTCGTCTCTGGAGTCCCTGTCCAGGGTCAACACGCTCTCATACGAGCCCCCTGAGCGAAGATGGGACCCTTTTAAACGTTGGAGTGCTCGATAATGTAGTGGGCCTGGAAATATTGCCTGAATCGATGAGGCCAACAGGCCGATCACCCTCGCCAATTGCCGGACGCAGAGAGAGGTGGCTCGCAGCGCCCGTCGTATCTCCTTCTTCATCGATCGGAGTTTTGCCTCCGGGAGGAACAGAAACTGGGTGACTGAATCGACCTCGAAGCCCAGGAACTCTATCCTTTGTACCGGGGTCACAATGGATTTTTCCCAGTTTACGAGGAAACCTAGTCCCTCCAGGAGACTCACCGTCCATCTTAGGTGCCTGAGAAGTTGCGTGGGGGATGAAGACATAATCAGTATGTCGTCCAGGTAGATAATCATGCGGACCCCTCGCGCCCTGAGGAAGGCCACCACGGGCTTCATCACTTTCGAGAAACACCACGGAGCTGAAGATAGACCGAACGGCAGACATATAAAACGCCATCGACGACCTTGCCACGTAAAGTGCAATAAGTCCCAATGCTCTTCTGCCATGGGTATAGTCAAGTAGGCATCTTTGAGGTCTAATTTGACCATCCAGTCTCCCTGACGGAGCAGGTCCCTGAGACAATGAGCGCCCTCCATCTTGAAGTGATGGTAACGTAGGAAAGAATTGAGGTGTTTGAGGTTTATCACCGGACGTACGCCTCCGCCCTTCTTGGCGACAAGAAACAGGTTGCTTAGAAATCCCGGGTGTCCGTAGGGGATTTCTTGAATAGCCCGTTTGGCAGACAGTTCCGCGATCTCTGCGGTAATTAATCCGGACAGCTCTGCTGGTAGTTTCAGTTCCTGTGGAAGAAACGTCTGGACAGGGGGAGACAATAAATCCAGGCGGAAACCCCTGACCGCACTGAGGACCCAAACATCTGTGGTGATCATACCCCACACATCGAGAAACAGTGCCAATCTGCCCCCCACACTCGTTCTGCAAGATACACGTATTGGTGTACTCACCGTAAGGGCATCTGTATGAGGGTTGTCCACGACCTCCCCGACTCTGCCATGGTCTCCCCCGTGAGGGAAAAAAGGGCGTTGGCTTATAGTCTTGGTAGGTCCGGGGGGCGGAAAAGGAACCTCTGTGAGTCCTCGGGGGACCTCGAGCTCCACGGCCGGGCGGACGGCTCCTATACCTCCCGGCCCCATGGGAAACCTTAGGGCCGAACACCCTCTTCAGGTTAGACTGCGCCTTATCTAGCGCGGTAAAGGTGCGAACAAAGGAGCCTAAGTCCTTAACAAAACATTCTCCGAAGAGCATACCTTTGGCCGAAGCACCAGGCTCCTTCACTGCCAGGTTAACTAACTTGGGCTCAATTTTGAGCAGAATCGCCTTGCGGCGTTCAGCCGACATGGCTGTGTTCGCGTTGCCGAAAAGGCAAATCAACCTCTGGACCCACCCAATCGCTTCATCAAAAATCAATAGGCTTCGTTCCAGCCTTAGCCGCTTCTAGAAGCTCGTAAAGCTTGGCGGCGGGGCCCAGGGTATCCAAGATCTTGTCTTGGCAATTATGCAGCGAAAATTCCAGTCCTTTGCGGGGCTTCCAACCCGTCTTAGTTAAGAACTGAGAAATCTGGGGGTCAACCTCTGGCGTCTTGCACGCCGAATCAGGCACCGAAGGCCTTGGGCACTCGGACCTCAGTTTACTGCGCCCCTCCTTGGAAAGGGGGGTACGCATACGAAGCGCCAGGTAATTGGCAATATGCGCGGGCGGGTCCCATTCCGCCGAGCGGGGATGGCGAAGGTCACCGGGATCGAACAGGGGGTAACCCTGAGGATCACAGATGTCCTGCCCCTCACCCAGGGGAAGCGCAGAAGCGTCGAACTCCGCCTCATCGCCGGAAACCCCTTCCTCATAGGAGGCGTAATCAGGGGGATCCGAGTCTGACTCTCCAGTTTGATCGGTATCCGATCCATCATCATCTCGGGCACGTGCCCGTTTCCATTTTCTGGCCGATTTTGCCTGGCCAGCGGCTCTCTTGCGCGGAAACGCGCCATCTGGGACGGCCATAGGCACGTCAGTCAAGGCAGGTATCACCTGCATCACCTCTGGAGAGACATGTTTAAATTTCGTTTGTGCCTTGCGACCCGTATGAGGCTGCAGCGCAGGCAGGGGAGCAGGCAACACGGCATGGCCCAAAGGCTGCGACAGCGCCTGCTGAATAGTGTGAGAGAGGGACGAGGACACGGTCCCCATGGTCGAAGCCAGGGCCTTCTGCATAGTGGAATCAAAAAGGGCCTGGAACTCCTGTGAGGGAGTAAGGCCCATATCCCCTGTAATGGGGGTCGGAGAGGGGTCCATAATGGGGTAACTGGGACTACCCGAATCCTCACCCCTAGCCTGCATAATTATCAAAAACCAAATAAAGGCAACAAGTACTGTCTCTAATCTGATATAGGAGCAGAGCAAAATCTGTAAAGGCTTAAATAAAACTAACAGATGACAGAAACATAAATCTATACAGGAGAAAAAAGGGGGTTGAGTAACCCACCAGAACAAACTACATATACAATACTTGCAACAGTATGGGAGGGAGAAGGGAGCCGACCCAGCCGCGTGGAGAAACGAGGGGAAGATGGCCGCCGCGTGCAGAGCGCGCCGCGGCCGTTTCCAGGCTCCACCCCGCTAGTGAACGGGGAGCACGACCACACACGCGGCCGGCACTCCCTCGCACCAGCGGGAGATCGGGTCAGCCGATAAGTGCGGCCGCACACGCGGCCGCGAGGGAAAGGGAGCCGGGGAGCACAGGGCTCCAGAGAGAAACCTCCCCTGCTAGCCGCGAACCCTGTCTGAAAGGGGAACGGTCAGACAGACAGGGGGAGCGGCGGCAAACGCAGGGGAGGTAAATAGGGAACCAAAGGAGGCACCCAAGTATAAAAGCACATAAGGCTTGCCAAAAAGGCACATAAAAGCCAGCAAACAAACAGACAATTGATAATATAAGACAACACAGTTAATAAAAAACCTTAGCAAAAGCCATCAATCAAAACAATGTAGGAGAGAAAAATTATACTTAGCTGGTCTGAGGACAGCAGCAAAGAAAGAGGAAGTGGAAGTACAAGGATAGAGATTTATGGACTGTTCCTAGAGACTGATTGGCTGCCCTGTTACTAGGCAGATCTGGTTGTACCTGTTATTATTATTATTGCATATCTACATTTTTTCTCTTTCAGTTTTATATTTCTCTTTGCTGCTGAGGAATAAAGTAAGAAAGAGATAGCATAATAGGAGCCTCCGTGTCATTAATAAAATCCAAACTCTGGATCTGAATGTAACATATCATGACCATCTGGCCTGTAGGACTATATACACCAACTGTCGTAAAACACATAAGTAAATAGACCCATATACGTCATAAGTCAAGAGAAAAACTGTGAACACTTACCTTGAGGTAAAAGATCCCCCCCCCCCGATTGAACCATAAGTATAGACCCAAACCATACCCAACGGGTGGGTGGGTGGGAATAATACTCGCCACCGTGTCATTAATAAAATCATGAATTTACGTCATGTTAATAGTAAAATCTGGGAATTTTATTAATGACACGGAGGCTCCTATTATGCTAGTTTAAAGCTGAGCCACAACTAACGAGGAAACATGGTCAATCGTGCGGAAATAAAAATCACAGAACGTAGATTCTCTAGACCAATCCGCTGCCATCAAGATATCATCCAGACGACATCCCATCGTAGAAGCTTTTGACGCCATGGCGCCTCTGACCGAATGAGCTGAAAATATTGAGGTATCGATCCCTGCAGCGGAAAGAAGATTCTTAATCCAACGAGCTAACGTAGTCGAGGAGATCGGGAGAAACGGCTTCCTAAAGGAAATAAACAATTGGGATAAATCCAAAGACCTCAATTGGTGAGTACGATCCAAGTACACTCATAGGCAAGCTACCAGACACAGAGCAGGTCGGACTGAACACCTAGGGTAGATCACCGACTTAGAAGACGTCTTAGTCCTCCTAGAGATGTTAAACGACACTCCCTCGGGGGTGAAGGATAATGCGTTTCAGTCCAAAGCCCTGACATCCGAAACCCTTTTGCATTAAAGGAGACACAGAAGCATAACCAGTTTCCAGGATAATTGCTTCAGCGACAGCTCCTCATTAAGGGGCCACGATTCCAAGAAGCCCAGCACTACGTTAACATCCCAAAATGATGAATATCTGGATTTCGGAGGCCTAGAGTAACGAATACCCTTCAAGAGTCGACATACAAGAGAATGTTGTCCAACCGGTGATCCGTCAATACCTAGATGTCCGGCCGAGATGACCAATCTATAAACATTAATAGTGCGGTAGGCCAAGCCAGATTAAAAAAATGTAGTCAGAAAGCTGAGCACCTCCTTCAGAGGGGCAGAAAGGGGATCCAGCAGTCTTCCCATGCACCAGTCACGTCATGCAGACTTGTAAGCTGTTCTGGTACCTGGTGCCCAGGCATTCTCCAAGAGTCTTGTAGTAGCCTGCGGAACGTCCGAGACATACCAGGGTCCCCCGAAATCAACCAAACTGTGAGCTGGAGCAGGTCCTGGTCCACCAAAATGTGTGAGTTCCCATCCGGATCCAGAAGCACATCTGGTCGCATCTTGATCATCCGTGGGCAATCCGACGCCATTTCCAAGAGACGCGGGAACCAAGGCTGAGTCTGCCATAGGGGAACTACCACTACCAACGTACACTCTTGTCTGGGAAAATACGCCAGCGTCCGAGAGATCAGGTTGAAAGGGGGGAACGCAAAGTGACGACCCCGAGGCCATGTCTGCAGGAACGCATCCACAGCCGTGGCTGACGGATCCGGCCTCCAACTGAAGTAATGGGGTAGTTGAGAGTTCAGTCTTGATGCAAATAAGTCCAGTTGTAACGGGCCCCATAGTTGATCTATCTGTCGAAAGATCGAAGGCAGCAGGTGCCAATCTCCCTAGTCTTTCAAGTAGCGCGAATTCCAATCCGCCCATTCGTTGTCCAAGCCCGGGATGTGTTCGGCCATAACCGACACCGCGTTGTGGAGGCAAAACTGCCAGAAGTCCTTTGCCAGGTTCGCCAGTAGTTTTGATTTGGTGCCACCTAGGTGATTTATATATCTGACCGCAGACACATTGTCCATGTGATTGCTCGACTGTTTCATGCCTCCATATGATCCAACCACCACCGTAGTTCCTCCTTGGAGTCTTTGTCCAGGCGTAATTCGCTTTCGTACGAACTGCCCGAGCGAAGGTGGGATCCCTTCAGATGTTGCAGTGCTCGATAATGTAGGGGTCCCGGGAAAATCGCCTGAATGGAGGAGGCCAAAATGCCGATCACCCTCGCCAGTTGTCGTACGGAGAGAGAAGTGGTCCGCAGCGTACGTCTTATTTTCTTCTTCATAGCCTTTAGCTTGGCCTCTGGAAGGAACAAGAACTGGGCTACCGAATCCACTTAGAAACCCAGAAATTCTATTTTCTGCGTCGGGGTCACCATGGATTTTTCCCAATTTATGAGAAAACCTAAGTCCTCCAGAAGATCCACCGTCCAGCCCAGATGCTGTAGAAGTTGTTCGGGGGACGCGGACATAATCAGTATGTCGTCCAGGTAAATAATCATGTGTACTCCCCGAGACCTGAGAAACACCACTACCGGTTTCATCACCTTTGTGAAGCACCAAGGTGCTGAAGAGAGACCGAAGGGCAGACAGGTAAACCTCCATCGACGTCCTTGCCACGTAAAGTGCAATAAGTCCCAGTGTTCTTCTGCCATTGGAATAGTCAAATAGGCATCTTTGAGGTCGAGTCTGACCATCCAGTCTCCTTGTCAAGCAGGTCCTTGAGGCAATGAATGCCTTCCATCTTGAAGTGATGGTAGCGGAGGAATTCGTTGAGGTGTTTGAGATTTATAACCGGTCGAACACCTCCGCCCTTCTTGGCAACAAGGAACAGATTGCTTAGGAACCCCGGGTGGTTGTACAGGACTTCCTGTATTGCCCGTTTGACCCGAAGTTCCAAGATCTCCTTGGTAATGAGCTCGGCCTGCTCTGCCGGCAATCTCAGTTCCTGTGCTGTCAAAACCTGGATTGGGGAGATAACAGATCTAGGCGGAAACCCCTGACCGTATTCAAACCCATATATCTGTGGTGATCATTCCCCACATATCGAAATACAGTGCCAGTCTGCCACCCACGTTTGAATGTGAAAGCGCACATATGGGGGTACTTACCGTAAGGGCGTCTGTATGAGGGTTGACCGCGTCCTCCTCGATTCTGCCACGGTCTCCTGCGTGAGGGAAAGAAAGGAGCTGGTTTGTAATCTTGGTAGGCCCGAGGGGCAGTAAAGGAACTGTGAGGGACCTCGAGCTCCACGGGCGGGCAGCTCCTGTACATCCCGGCCCCATGGAAAACCTTTGGGCTAAAGACCCATTTTAAGTTAGACTGGGCTTTGTCCAGGGCAGTGAAGGTGCTCACAAAGGAGCCCAGGTCCTTAACAAAGGACTCACCGAAGAGCATACCCTTGGCGGCAGCACCCGTTTCTTTCACCGCTAGATTTACTAGTTTTGGCTCAATCTTGAGCAAGATCGCCTTGCGGCGTTCGGCCGGCGTTCGGCCGACATGGCCGTGTTAGCGTTGCCGAGAAGGCAAATCAGTCTCTGCACCCATCCTATTGCCTCATCAAAATCCATGGGGTTGTCCCCCGCCTTAGCTGCCACTAATAGCTCATATAGCTTGGCAGCGGGCCCCAGGGTGTCTAATATTTTGTCCTGGCAATTATGGAGTGAGAACTCCAGTCCCTTCTTGGGTTTCCAGCCTGTTTTTGCCAGGAACTGAATACTCTGAGGGTCAACCTCTGGCATCTTGCATGCCGCATCAGGCACTGAGGGCCTGGGGCATTCAGCCCGTAGTTTGCTGCGCTCCTCCTTGGACAGAGGAGTGCACAGGCGGAGGGCTAGGTAGTTAGCTATATGCTTGGGCGGGTCCCATTCCGCCGAGCGGGGATGGCGAAGATCATCAGGATCGAACAGGGGGTAACCCTGCGGATCGCACATGTCTTGCCCCTCGCCCGGAGGTAGCGCCGAAGCGTCAGACCCCGCCTCAGCATTGGAGCCCCCTTCCTCATAAGAGGTGTACTCATGGGCATCCGAGCACGACTCCTCACTCTGATCTGTGTCAGATCTATCATCCACATGGGCACGCGCCCTTTTCCATTTTATGGCCGATTTTGCTGGTAGTGCGCCATCTTGGACGGCCATAGGCACGTCAGTCAGGGCAGGTTTCACCTGCATCATATCATGGGAGACGTTTTTCCATTTAGCCTGCGCTTTGCGGCCCGGCTGAGGATGCAGCCCAGGCTGAGGATTGGGTACCACAGAGGGAGGCAGGGGTTGGGACAACGCCTACTGAATGGTGTGAGACAGGGCCCTCTGCATGGTGGAGTCAATGAGGGCCTGGAACTCCTGGGAGGGAGTAAGGCCACCTTCCCCAGTGACAGGGGTCACCCATCCCCCGAACAACTTCTACAGCATCTGGTAATGGGGTAGCTGGGCTGTCAGACTCCTCACCTCTGGCCTGCATGATAGAGCAGGAAGGGTGAACCCAAGACAAAATTTAAATGTACTGTAAAAATCCTCACAGGGAACAGTAATACAGTAAATGATAGAATTAAAGTATTCTAACACAAACAAACCTAACAGGGGTTGAGTAACCCACAACAAATACCTGCACAGAAAGGGAAAACGAAAGGGGAGGTAAGGAGGGAGCCGAGCCGCCGAGCAGACCCAGCCACGTGCACGCTGATAATCCAAGATGGCCGCTGTGAACAGAGTGCGCCGCGAGTACCCGGAGCTCCTCCCCCGCCAATGGCCGGGGAGCACGTGGTACACACGCGGCCGGGAATTCCCTCGCACCAGCGGGTGCGAGGAAACTGATCGGGCCGGCAGATAACGCGGCCGCGAGGGTAGAGGAGGGAACAGGGAGCCAGAAGCTCCAAGTGCAAACACACTTCCCCTGAGAGCTGCGGATCCCAGCCTGTGCTGACAGGAATACAGCACAAGCAGGGAGACCGGGCAAAGGGGAGAGCAAACACACTTCCCCTGAGAGCTGCGGATCCCAGCCTGTGCTGACAGGAATACAGCACAAGCAGGGAGACCGGGCAAAGGGGAGAGAAAACAAATAATAGTACAATCAAACACAATACAATCACAAGAGCCTAAGCCACAATAAGCAATATAAATAATCAGGGCAAAAAATCACCCTGACAATAAAATACAGATCAATATACAGGACGTAAAATTATACTTAGCTGGTCTGAGGACAGCAGCAAAGAAAGAGGGAGTGGAAGTACTAAGCAAGACATTTATGGACTGTTCCTACTAAGCTGATTGGCTGCCCTGTTACTAGGCAGATCTGGTTGTACATGTTATTATATTTCATATTTACATTTTTTCTCTTTCAGTTTTATATTTCTCTTTGCTGCTGAAGAATAAAGTAAGAAAGAGATAGCATAAAAGGAGCCTCCGTGTCATTAATAAAATCTCCAGCTCCGTATGACAACCTCCAAGTTACAACCTCCTAGCTTCGTTTTACAATCTCCGTGTTACAACCTCCCAGCTCCGTGTTACACTCTCCGTGTTACAATCTTTCTGTTACTGTCTCCCAGCTCCGTGTTACAATCTCTCAGCTCCATGTTACAATCTCCGTGTTACAACCTTCCAGCTCCATGTTACAATCTCCCAGCTCCATGTTACAATTTCCCAGCTCCATGTTACAATCTCCTTGTTACAATCTCTGTGTTACAATCTCTGTGTTACAATTTGCCAGCTCCGTGTTACAATCTCCCAGCTCCATATGACAACCTCCAAGTTACAATCTCCCAGCTCTGTGTTACAATCTCCTAACTCCGTGTAAAAACCTCTGTGTTACAACCTCCCAGCTCCGTGTTATAATCTCTGTGTTACAATCTCCCACCTCCGTGTTACAATCTCCTTGTTACAACCTCCCAGCTCCGTGCTACAATCTCCGTGTTACAATCTCCATGTTACAACCTCCCAGCTCCGTGCTACAATCTCCGTGTTACAATCTCCATGTTACAACCTCCCAGGTCCGTCTTACAATCTCTGTGTTACAATCTCCCAGTTCCGTGTTACAATCTCTGTGTTACAATCTCTGTGTTACAATATCCTAGCTCCATGTTACAATCTCTTTGTTTTAATCTCTTTGTTTCAATCTCCTAGCTCCGTGTTACAATCTCTGTGTTACAATCTCCAAGCTCCATGTTACAATCTCCATGTTACAGTCTCCTAGCTCTATGTTACAATCTCTGTGTTACAGTCTCCATGTTACAATCTTCCCGCTGTGTGTTGCAATCTCCCAGCTCCGTGTTACAATCTCTATGTTACAATCTCATTATTGGGGGAGGATTTATTGTATGCTGTTCCAGTTTGACTGCTAGGAGAGTAAACCTATTCGTATGGTTCCTATTCAACTGTCTACAGCATTCATATGCTTGAGAGGATTCATATGCTTCTCCAGTTCCATGGTTGTGGTGTCTGCTGCAGTGCTTGGAGTCCTCAGGAAGCGCTAGGAGCATCCTTTAACGGAGGTACCCAGTCGGGGTGCCAGGCGATCCGTTACAGAGATTATAATACTCTGGGAGGTTGTAACACAGAGGTTGTGACATGGAGCTAGGAGATTGTAACTTGGAGGTTTTCATACAGAACTGGTAGATTGTAAAACGAAGCTGGGAGATTGTAACACGGAGCTGGGAGGTTTTAACACGGAGCTGGCAAATTGTAACACGGAGATTGTAACATGTGATTTTAACACAAATCTGAGAGGTTGTAACACGGACCTAGGAGATTGAAACATGGAGATTGTAACATGGAGATTGTAACACAGAGCTGGAAGATTGTAAAACGGAGCTAGGAGATTGTAACATGGAGCTGGGAAATTGTAACGCACAGTTGGGACATTGTAACACAGAGATGGGAGATTGTAACATGGAGCTGGAAGGTTGTAACACAGAGATTGTAACACGGAGATTGTAACATGGAGCTGAGAGACTGTAACACAGA